TAATGGAATTATTTAAGAGGTATTTAAAAGGAAATGATTAGTCTGACAGAAAAACCCTATAGTTATCCAGAGCCCTCAGAGCAGAGGTTGATCTGCACAACAAAGTTTGGTTATATCCGTATTTAAACAGGTAACAGCATACTTCAAATAACAAGACAAGAGCATTTTGGAAGAGAAACAACTCCAGGATAAATGGGATCAGCTACAGGTCCCCACCTTTCCCCTCAAGTTTTTTTCTTTTTTCCTTAGAGTTATCTGAGCCCCATCTACATCAACTTTAGAAATACTCTGCTCTTCTTTTCCCCTTTACCTGAGCATAGATAAAAATAACTTTTCAAAGTTATATATCTTTAAAAAAAAAGAATTATGCAAGAAAAGAAAATACAAAAATAGAAAAACAAACAAGTCAAATATAGATTTTAGGGTACAAAGGTAAACAAGTTAAGTACAGACTTTGGATCCTAAGATAACTAAATTCTAGCTAGGAGTTGACTGGCCCTGTTTTTCTCTCCACACAGTTATCAATCCATTGTCCTTGACCATAGGGCCTTATACAAGAAGTCAAAAATGCAGCAGATCTTTCAGAGCCCAGTCTCATCTTGCTGGAGAAGAAAAAAGTCTAACTTATTAAGCCACAAGTTCCAGAGAGCAGAGGTTTTCTCCTTTAAGTGTGAAAACTAATTTTTAAAATACCTTGAGGTAGTCTGGTAAACTTTTAAAATGTATACTTTTACTTACGTACTTTTTTTATGTATATAATATGTAGTCGATAGAAATATTTTTCTTGACAAATTATTGTTAACATTAATTAACAAACTAGGCTAAAATACAGTTTTGTTCTTAGTGTCTATTAAGGACGTGCATACCAAATCAACAAACCCATAAGTCTTTGTGCTAAGAGTAATTATGGTTCACTTTTGCCATTTCTGTTCAACATATAACGTTACATCATATAAAAATTAACTCAAAATGGCTCAAAGGCCCAACCCTGAGATAAAACAATACTTAAAAAAAAGAAAGAAGACAGCTTCATGACATTGCATTTGGCATGATTTTTGTTTGATATGACACCAAAAACATAGGCAATGAAAAAAAAAAAAATAGGTAAATAATACCCAAAGTCCTAGCCAGAATAATTAGGCAAGATAAAGAAATAAAATGCATCTGCACCTCTGCTTGCAGATGATATGATCTTATATGTAGAAAACTCTAAAGGGGCCTCCCCGGTGGCCCAGGGGTTGTCTCAGCGCTGTCACCACTACCACCTGAGTCTGATCCCCAGCCAAGGAGTTAACCCACTTATGGCGGGGCAGACCTCTCCTATCTTGCCCAGGGCACCCCTCAGCAGTGTGTTTCAGTTGGTTTGCCTGTTCTGCTCCCCACTCTGTCTCTGGTGAATCCTCTCACCCACACTCCAGTTCTTCTATGCAAAACAAACAAACAAAAAACAAAAAAAAAACCAACGCCAAAAAAAGCCTAATGATTTTCCCCAAGACTATTAGAACTAATAAACGAATCTGGCAAAGATACAGGACACAAACTCAACACATAAAAATCAGTTGCATTTCTATTTACTAACAATGAAGATTCTGAAAAGGAAATTAAGAAAACAATTCCATTTACAATAACATCCAAAAGAATAAACTACTATGAATAAACTTAACCAAGGAGGTGGAAAGAGCTAATCACTAAAAACTATAGAATGTTCCTGGAAGAAATTAAAGATGACACAATAAATGGAAAAATATCTTGTGTTCATGGACTATAAGACTTAATGTTTTTAAGATGTCAGCATCTACAACATGCGACAACATGGATGGACATTATGCTAAGCAGAATAAACTGATCATAGGAAGAAATACCGCCAAGGATTATATGAGGTAGCTGAGTATATGAGGTATCTAAAATAGCAAATCCATGACTCGAAGAGGGGAGTGGTGGTTGCTGGCAGGTAGGGGAAGAGGGAAATAGAGAGTTACTGTTCAACAGGTATAAAATTTCAGTCAAGATTCTAAATTAATAAATTCCAGAGTTCTGCCTACAACAATTGAATAGTCGACAATATACTATACACCTAAAATTTGTTAAAAGGGCAGATACCATATTAAGTGTTCTTTACATAATAGCAAAAAGATGTCAGTACAACCCAAGTGATCTACAGATTCAATGTAATCCCCTTCAAAATCCTAACAATTTTTGCAGAAAGAGAAAAATCTATCCTAAAATTTATATGGAATTCCAAGGGATCCTGATGGTCAAACCAATTTTGAAAAAAAAAAAAAAAAAAAAAAAACAAGTCGGAGGGCTCACATTTTCTGATTTTTAAACTTACTACAAACCTACAATAATCAAGAGTATAGTACTGGCATAAAGACAAGACATATAGACCAATGAAATAAAATACAAAGCCCAGAAGTAAATGCTGGTGTATTTGGTCAAACGATATTTCAAAATTATCCAAAGGGGAAAAGAGAGTCATTTCAGTAAATGGTGTTGGGAAAAATGGACAGCCATCTGCAAAAGAATGAAGTTGGAATATACCACATAAAAATTAACTCTAAATGGATCAAAGATCTAATCATGAGCTAAAACAACAACAAAAAACTGAAAAGAAAGGGAGAAATCTTCATGACATTGAATTTGGTGTGATATTTTGGACACGACACAAAGACATAGGCAGCAAAAGAAAAAAATAGGTAAATTGGACCTTATCAAAATTAAAAACATTTGTGTATCAAATAAAGGACACCATCAGCAGAATGAAAAGGCAACCTATGGGATGGGAGAATATATTTTCAAAATCATGTATCTGGTAAGGAGCTTCCATCCAGAATATATAAGGAACTCTTACAACTGAACAACAGAAAGGCATATACCCCAATTTAAAAATGGGCGAAGGACTTCAATAAATTTCTCTAAAGAAGATATAAAAAAGGCCAATAAGCACATTATTCAATACCACTAGTCATTAGTGAAATGTGAATCAAACCACAATGAGATAACACTTCAAACTCATTAGGATTAGTATTATTAAAATTAAAAGCAATAGGAAGTAACAAATATTGACCAGGACGCAGAAAAGTTGGACTGCTTTACATTGCTAGTGGGTGTGAAAAATGATATACAGCCATTGTGGAAAATGGAATGGTAGTCCCTCAACAAATCAAACAGAATTACCCTACAAGTCAGCAAGTCCCTTTTTGGATATATACATACACATAAATACACACACACACATATATTCTAAATGAATAAGTTTCAGAGATCGGCTGTACAACAGTTGTGTGTGTGTGTGTGTGCTTGTGTGTGTACGTATATACCCAGAAGGACTGAAAGCAAGACTCAGATATGTATACATCGATGCTCATAGTAGCAGTATTCACAGCAGCCAAAATGAAAGCAACCCAGTGTCCATTAACAGAAGAATGGATAAACAGAATGTGGTCTATGCACACGACGAATATTTTTTAGTCTTATAAAGGAAGTAAATTCAAATATAAGAGACCACATGGATAAACCTTGAACACTATGTTAAACAAAATAAACCAATCACAAAGAGAAAAATACTATATGACCCAACTTATATGAAGAATGTAGACCAGTCAAATTTGTGGAGAAAGTAAGTAGAGTGATGGTTGGGGACTGGAGGAAGAGGAAATGAGGAATTATTGTTCAATGGTTATAGAGTTTCAGTTTGAGAAGATGAACAAGTTTTGGAGCTGGATGTTGGTGACAGCTGGACAGTAATGTGAATGTACTTATGCCAACAAACTGTATACTCACGAATGGCTAAAATAATATTTTATGTTATGTATATTTTATCACAATAAAAAGAAAAAGGCACAAGAGAGGTTCAGCTATGAATTATACACTCTTTCATTAGAAATTATCCCTACCCTGAGTTATCTCTCTCAAAGCAAGGTTGATACCTAGTCACTCAAAATAATATGCTCATTCTGTATGATGGACTCATGTGACAGAACTACAGTATCCAATGCTTAGGTCTGAGTGGGTGTTTTCTGGGTATACTCAACACTGAAAAATCAGATTATAGCAACAGAGCCCGCCCTTACCCTAACATGAAGTGAGCCATCCCGGTCAAGTGACTTTTAATAAGGTGCTCAGTCATTGTGTATGAGTAACAGAAGAAAAGGGTGAGTTATTGTCCTAAATATGCAGAGAAAAAAAAATAGAACATAAAAATCTCTCCATGAACTAGGGTTGCCAGATTTAGCAAGTAAGAATACAGGACACCCTGTTGTTTATCTGAAATTCAAATTTAACTTGGCACCCTGTATTTTATCTGGCAATACTCTGAAATATTAGAAGTGAAGAGAAAATAAATCAAAATCAAATAATCCTCAGTATTCCGGGGTTGCTGAGGTCTTTACAGGGAGCCTAGCTAGAAAAGCCCATAAAATGTATTTGTTACAAAAAAGCACTGGTTTCCAAACACTATGTCCAAACTGAATCTAGTTTAGGAGTCCCTCCTTGCTCTGGGGTTCCATGATCTAAGATTTACTTTATAAAAATAGGCTAGAGGGTAGAAGAAAGACAAAGTGGAGAAAGGCTAAAGCAAAGTAGAAATGGGTGAGAACACACTCAGGCTCCAGTTAGGCAGATGTGGCCTCAAAAAGGGACCTAAACATTTGACCAAAAAAATCAGAGGAAATCAGATTTTGACCTGACTCAAAGCAGAAGAGACACGGGCGGTTCGTGGCCTGTGGCCACACAGCAGGGGTGCGCAGGCAACAGAACACTAGGGATGTCCTTCCTTTCCCTAAATCACACCACTCCTCAATTTCCCAAGAGCCTCCTAAGAAATACCAATCACTATTTTTACTTACTAATATTCTGAGCCCTAGTTACAATAATGCCGCCAGTCAGCAATGAATTCTTAGTTTACAAACTACTACCGCTTTTTAGCCACCGTTTCATCGCTCAACAATATCCTCTGCTTCCCCATAGATCAAAACTGAGATCTCCAAACCCTGTCTTACCTTCAGGAAACTGAATTTGTTCAGGTCATCGTCCTAGGAATCAACAAAAACAGGTTTCGGGCTCTTGGTTCTTGGAGAATTCCATGCACAAAAAGCCTCCGTTCTTGTTGATTACTGACACGGTTCACACAGTGGTAACCCCTGTTTAACTCTGGACTACCCAGACAGAAATGGCCTGCGAGGCCTACAGCAGTATCTAGGAATCGTGCCATGGCTCTCACACTAGGCCTGCCTGGGGTGTCTACCCTGCCGAGTGGGGTGGCGTAGTGTGAGAGGGCCAGGGAGTGTGGGGCAGGACTGGGAATCCAGGAGCGAAAGGGTAAAAGAGCTAAAGTCCTCCATTCCTCCAACCCCAGCACCAGCTGATCAGCTACCCTGAGTCAGCTTCAAAGGCCGTGGCTGGCCTCCAAGCATTTTTCCCCAGAGGGAGCCGTCAGTCTCCAGGGCAGAGGAGCTGGTCACCCAGGCAAAACTCTTAAGATTACGTGGGCAGCCCCTAAGACACTAGCCAGTGAGAATGTCTGCAGCCCCAGCCCTGGCATCCCCTCCCGCTGCAGACAAAACACACACAGCGGATGCACAGGAACGCGCCTGTGCATGAAATGCGTGTAGTGGACGATTAAATCTATTGTTTTCTGCGCCCAGTGTGAGGATGCTCTTGCTCCCCCAGCCCCTCAGGTAACCAGCACACCTTTCCCACGAAAACACTGCCTCGCGGCCTCTGCTTCGGGCTCATTCATTCATTCATTCCCCGGCTCCTGACACATCCCCGGGCGCCGCCGTGCCCGGCGCGGTCCTCGCCTGCCCCAGAGCCCGGGCGTCCCGCGCCAGGCCTGGCCCTCCGGGTCGCGGAGCCCTTGGCGCAGGTGAGCTGGGGGAGCCCTCGGCAGGTGAGCCCTTGGCAGCGGCGGGGCTGGCGGGGCGCCAAGCGCAGGTTCCCGAGAGCCGGGGTGGGGACCGCGCTCCCGGGGCAGTGGCAGGACGCGCGGGTGCAAAGCCGCGCCCTGGGCGCGAGCCGGCTACGGGGTGTCTCCCGACAGCTTGTGGGGACGTTGGGGCGGATCGGGGGCGACGCCCAAAGGGGTGCCTGAGCCCCCGGGGAGCCCGCAGGGCCGAGGGGAGGTGCGCGCTGCCCCGCGGGGTGCGGCCGGGCCCGTGGGGCGCAGGGGCAAGCGGGGTCCCCCGGGAGGACGCGTCCCTACCCGGCTCCGGCTCCGGCGCGGTCCTTGGCAGCGGGCAGCCGCGGCGCGTCCCGCGCCCCCGAGGCGGGCCCGCACCCCTCCTCCGCGGGCGGTTGGGGACGCCCGGCGCCCCTGCAGCCGGCGCGATGGTCCGCTCTGGCCCGGCCTCCCGCCGCCCCCGCGGCGCGCTTGGTTCGGCCCGCCGGACGCCGGGGCTCGCCGGGTGCCGCTCCCGCCGCGGTGGGCGCCCGGGTCCCGCGCAGGCTCCGCGCACCCGGAGGGCGAGGCCCGGCCCGGCCCGCCCCTGGGGCGCCCCGCCCCGCCCCGCCCCGCCCCCGCCCCGGGCGGCCTCCGCGCCCGCCTGCGCGCCTCCGGGGCGCGTGCCGTGGGCGCCCGGCTGCGCCCCGGGCAGCCAGGGTCAGCCCCGGGGTCCCCGCGGCGGCTCTCGGCGCAGACGGGAAAACAAAATGGCATAACCAGGCCCTGCTCGCAGCCCAGGCCGGGGGAATCGAATCACTGCGGGGTGGAGTAGGGTCGGTGGAGCCCAAGCTCTGATTTCTTTTAATATGAAAAATCATTTCAATTCTAACTCCTTTATGAATGCTTTTAAAAGCGCCCGGTGCAGAGCCAAATTTAGGAGGTCCCGGTAGCACCCCGCAGTGAGTCTCTCCTCGGGCCTGAACTTTTGCCAGGCTTCTCTGCTGGGCTGTGTGTGCTCCACCTTCGGCTTCCCTCTGTGCCCTTGTAAAATCCTGTTTGCGCAAGAATCCTGCGGAGTTCCTTGCGCGGAAATTCCTGCCCTTGTTAGTTGACCGTTCTCGCTGTTTATTACCCCAGCCTGGCCTGCCTTTAGCTAGAATTCTCTTGAGTCAGGAGCCCCCTCCCCCTGGTGTTTCCTTTCAGTAATTGGTATGGTGTGTTTGGGACACTCCAAAATCCAAATGTTAAAATCCTAACCCCTAATGGTGACGGTATTCGGTGGGGCCTTTGGGGAGAGTCCAGGGCCTGGGAGGGCAGCCCCCAACGATAGGCGCAGAGCTCTTACAGAAGAGATGGCATGGTGCTCCCTAGCCCGACCTGCCAGGTGAGGCCCCGGGAAGTCTTCCACTTCCAGCCTCCAGGTTCTGAGAAATAAATTTCTGTTTGTAAGCTATACAGTCAGTGGTTTTTTTTACAGCAGTCTGAACAGACTAAAACTAATTTTCCATCCATGGGCCCCTACCCTGCTCCATGGCTATAAATCCGCACTTGTCCATGCTCTGGTCTAAGTTCAATCTCTCCCCTACTGCAAAATCTCACTGCAGTGGTCCAGGCGTCTATCTTGATGGCAGCTGCTTAAAATCTGCCTTATCATCCTAGAGAGTGTCATGAATTTATTTTTTATTTTATTTATTTTTTTTATGAAAACTCATGCACTTTATGCTCCTCATGACAGACGGGGTGCATGGGGGGGTCGGCAGGGGGTGGAACTGAGGATCCTGCTCAGTCTTTGGGCAAATAGCTATTGGAAGCCCACCAGGTTCCATGCATGCTCCTTGAAAGAGTTATTGACTGACTCTGTGCTCTAGTTACTCACAGCCTTCTTGGGTCATGGTCAAGGGAGGAGATAAATGTCACAGAAGAAGTATGAGCTGAGTTTTGAAAAATGAGTGGGAATAAAGGATGTGGGGGGAATCAGCATGTGCAAAAGAACAAAGGGGTAAAATAACTTATGTGACCGATGGGGATGCAATGGAGAGAGCACAGTAGAGAAATTCAGGCTGTCATATATATATATATATATATATATATATATATATATAACACACTATAGTATATATGACACACTAAGGAGGTGGTTCTCATCCTGCAAGCAGTGAAGAGATGTTGAAGGGCTTTATGTGGCAACTCTAATATGAATTTTAGAAATAAAGTTCTTGGAGTAGAAGGACGAAGGCTAGGACTGCCAGCAGAGTGAAAAGCTGCATGTTTGTATAGTTAAATGGCCCAGGGTGGAGAGTTGGTCAATTAGAATCCCTTCATTGAGAATTTGGTGTTGGGGGAGACAGAATTATACCCATATGCTTAGTTGAACTTATAGTGGAAATCTGAGAGCTGTGAGCGACCACCTTTTACTTGCAAATGGCCTAAGTAGCAAAGAAAACCATTTTACTGAAAAATGTCATCTGTTGCATAGAGAAGAGCCAAGCCCAGACGTGAAAGAGTAGTCCCCAGGCTCTTGGGGCCTTTGAGCATCTGTTTCCACTTTGTACTAAGGCGAGCTTGATTTTTACCTGAGCTTCATCATTCTTCTCTCTATCCATTCCCACATTTTAGTTAGTGAGGGTTCCAGTAAGATACTAACACCAGTTCACATAAGGATTTGACTTTTAGAAATGTATATTCTCTACCAGACAGAGTTAATTTGCATCATTGGGAACAAGAATCATTTGTACTGCTATGGGAAGGAGACATTTTGCAGTACTCTACAAGTTAACTTCTCTCTCCTATAAAACAGGAGCCTAGTCTAAAGCAGTGACAGGCTCATACCTCTAATAGAATCACACAGTCCAGGAGATCCATTCCACAGCACCCGTTTCATTAAAATGATACCCATTTCAAAGTCTTTCACAAGTTTTTTCTGACACTGGCAAATCAAAGGCTAGATAAAACTACAGGGGCATGAAAAGAACAGTGCCTTAGGGAAGCAGCAAGTAGTTCATAACGGGTGAAGCATAGGTGGTGCTGGTGGGATTATGAAGGGCCCTATATGTATGCTCAGAAGTTTGACTTTTATCCTGGAAGTCGTGGACACTATTATTTAAAACAGGTAGTGATTCGAACTGAGTTGCGCTTCAGAATCTCACTTTTGTGTCACTGAATTTGAGGAAGATAAAGACGAGTCAGTAGAAGGACATTGTAATTACGACAAGAAGTGAGAGGGTCTGAATTTGGGCAGTGACTGAGGGGTAAAGTAAGAGGAAACAGATTCAAAAGAGATTTAGGATGTAAAATCTGTAGAATGGAATGATTAATTGTGTAGTTGGAGGGTGGTAAAATAGAATGAATAGTCTCAGATGACTCCCAGGGCCCTCCTAATGCTGAGGCTTCTCCACAACTATTTGAATATAGAAGATTTGAAGCAAAGTTTGCAGGGAAATGTTGAGGCTAGGACAATGCTCCCTTGTCAGTTTCTCGCAGTGGTAAATAGGGTTGAGTTATTTCCCTTACAAGTTCTTAAAGAAAAAGTACAGGGTGAGCCAGATGGTCGTGTGAGCGCTCCCTACTTCTGAGAGGTTGTAGATGAAGAATGAATGTAACCCTGGCCTATGTAAATTGGAATTGTCTCTGTGTTTTTGCTACAGCAGCTATTCAGTCTAGCTCAAGTAAAAAACCCAACTTCAAAAAGCTCATCACGGGGCTCCCTCCTGGAATGCAACAGCACTGAAAACAAATCAAGCTCACTCTAAAATCAAGACCTCAGAAAGTAAAAAAATAAACAAATAAGCAACAAACAATAAATAAATGGCCTCACTTTCTGAAATTCTATGACTTTTGATCTGTTTCCCCTCCAGTTTGGGGGGTGATTTTTTGTTTATTTCTATGATCTTTTAGCTCCTGTGCTATCACTTAGTTTCTCAGAGTTCTAATTTCGAGAGAGAAGCGATATTGGGTTATGAATCCACTCTTGGCCACTTGTAGTTAGGGGTAGTAGGCGAACATGGACTACCTAGACATACGTCTCCATCAAGAACTGTGGAGGAAGAGTCAGTAATCCATGAATTTAGTGCCCGGTATCAGAGAAGAAACCATTAACTCAATGGGATCATTTGATAAACCTGTGCCTGCATCTTCTGTAGCCAATACATGAGTCCTGTGGATCTAGCTCTAAAATATATCCTTTATTCATCCACTTATTTCTCCATATTGAGGATGCTGCCATCTCTTGCTTTCCATCCTAATCCAGCCACCACCATGACAGGACAACTTTAATTGCCCTTAAATAGTATCCCTGACGCCACCTTTGAACCCCATTTGTCCATATGAGCAATCTTTTAAAACTGGCTTTAAAGACCCTGCTTATTTAGCCCCTCCCCAGCCCCCTTGCTCACCATGTTTCGTCCACATTCGACTTCTGTTTTCTTATACACAAAACTTGCTCCTATTTTTGGGACTTTACATTAGCTATTGACTCTGCCTGGAAGGCCTTTCCATCAGATTTTTGCAGGGCTAGATCCTCGTAGTCATTTAGGTTTCACTTCACATTTCACTTCCTCTTCAGAAAGGCTTTTTCTGACTACTAAATATAAAGGAGACATTCCCCACCCTCCACAGACACTCACTGCGAATGTAGCTGTTGTAGTATCTTCATGTGGAACTATCTGGATGACCTTATTTACTTTGTTACTATCTCTCCTGCTAGAAAGTCAACTCTGTGATAGTAAAAAGTTTTTGGAGTTTTTTTTTTTTTTTTTTTTTTTTGGTATAGAACTGGGGTGCAGGCCAGAGGTACCAGGTGAGGGGGCGGTGGGAGGATTCACCAGA